AAAAAAATGGTATGTAGTGCTAACCACCATACACCTAGTCGATAGAATAGAGATATTGAAAATGTTATAACGGCATTAATTGTAGCTTTTTTGTTGTAAATTTGTTGTGGAAAGAAAAAATTTTTAGCTCTCGTTTTTTAAGAAAAAATGGTATGTAGTGCTAACTTGACACCATACACCTAGTCGATAGAATTGAGATATCAAATATGTTACTATGCCATTAACTGTAGTTTTTATACATGAGCGCACTTGTGCACAAGGGTATATTAATTTTGTTCACATAACGGTTGTTTGTAACAGCCAAAACGAATCGAGATAGATATAGACAAATGTATACATAAATGATCAGGATGAAAAAAGAAATCGATTAAGCCATGTCTGTCTGTCCGTCCGTCTGTCCGTCTGTCCGTCTGTCCGTGTACACGATAACTCGAGCAAAAATTGAGATATCTCAACGAAATTTGGTATGTAGGTTTCCCTTAATCCAAGGTAGGTTGGTATTGAAAATGGGCGAAATCTGACTTTAACTACGCCCACTTCCCATATAACGGTAATTTCCAGAAATTCGAAAACTGCGATATTTTAGTAACTACTGAAGATAATTCACTCAAAACTGATATTTACAATAATTTTTAGACGAAAAATAAGAATATTATAAATTTTTGGAAAATGGGCGTAGCCACGCCCACTTATGGTTACATGTATATATCTTGGTAACCGCTGCACCAATTTCTTCCAAACTTGGCACAGTTGTTGGCCTTCGCACAACATACCAAATGGCCGATTTTTAAAATCGCGCAATAACCACGCCTATTTCCCATATAACGGTAATTTTCAGAAATACGAAAACTGCGATATTTTAGTAACTACTGGAGATTATTCATTCAAAATTGATATTTATAAGTTTTAGACGAAAAATAAGAATATTATAAATTTTTGGAAAATGGGCGTAGCCACGCCCACTTATGGTTACATGTGCATATCTTGGTAACCGCTGCACCAATTTCTTCCAAACTTGGCACAGTTGTTGGCCTTGGTACAGCATAAAAATCGCCGAAACTTTTTAAAATCGGACAATAACCACGCCCACATCCCATATAACGGTAATTTAGAGAAATACAAAATCTTCGATAAATCAGTAAATATTAAAGCTAATTGATTCAAAATTGATGCTTGCAACATTTCTTTACCAAGAAATACGTTTATGGTAAAATTTTGGAAAATGGGTGTGGCACCGCCCACTTATGATCAGATATAAGTATATCGGTAACCGTTATACCAATTTGTACCAAACTCGGTG